ATCCTAAGTTATCAGAGAAACAAGCTGAGCTAACATTAGCAGCAGCTTGGCTCGCAGCCCCTCCGGGACGTCCTTTGTCTGTCCGACAGCGTGGGAGAAAGTGATTTTTAAGGTGGAACTCCTTTATTCAGTGTTTATACCATTTTAATCAGCGGGTTTTGGAGAGGATAATTGGGCACCTGGTAGAAACCTCCTGAACCATGAACACTGAAGGAATCATAACTGGGAGAAGCTGACTGCAAAGATGGCAATGGTGGTGAAAACAACAACTCCCATGATCCCACAACGTCATCCAACTTGGTCTTTTGTAACTGTTTCGATGTAAGAGACTAATTATAAAGAAAAAAGCAGTTTACATTTGTTTCACTTTTAAAGGAGGATTCTTAAGCAAACCGGTTGGACATCAACAAGCCCTTACATTAAAGAACACCATCAGCTGAATTAGCAAACCTGGATGCACTGAAGAATCAGGTGCCCAATCTCCTCTCTGCCCTTGTTCTCCTGCAGCATTCAACCCTACTCTTTCTGGAGCCACGTCTCCTCCAGATCTTCCTTCCAGCTTCTTCTTCAGAAAGCTCTGATCTCCTCGTTGGCCTGAAGTCATTTGCTGAAGCCTTTCTCTTTAAAGGAGTTCCATTTAGAAGGACTCCTCCTTCAGAGACAGTGACTTCTCAAGCCTCAGCTCATTGGCAGCGAGAGGCTTCTGGAATCTGTCCTCCCTAGCTGCCAACTCCCTTCTGAATTTCTCGTCTTTTAAAGCAAGCTTCATTCTGAAGCCAACCTCCTTCAATGAGAGCTCCCTTTCGAAGCGGCGTTCTTTAGTGGCCAGCTACTCTGTGAAGCTCTTCCTAGCCAGCTCCTTTTTAAAGCTGTTCTCCAGTGCCACACATTCTTATGTCCTTGCTCCTTTCAGCTTCTGTTTTGGGTTTTTTTGTGGACCCTCTCTTTGTCTTTCAGCTCACGGATTCTGCAGCATCTCCTGCATTTCATTCTCCTCTAAGGCCTTTTCCAGTATTCTCTAATGATTTCCTTCAACCTCCAAGTAGCTATGTCCTCCTGAAAGTGCAGATCATACGTTTTTAAAGCAGAGATCCTTACACTTCTGCTTACATTCTACCAAGTAACACTTATTCTACACCCAAACCCAAATATTATCCACTATTTTTTGTTTGTTTTTACAATTCATGTATTTTCTCCCAAAACCAAATTGAACGGTGATTTTCAACACATCTTCTCCAACATTTTGTAGATACTGATGAATGAACACTCGGTTGCCAGTTTATTTCTATAAGTTCATGCAATAAAATTAATAAATTGTACCTTGAAGGTTATAATGTTTAGATTTTAACAATTACTTTTTTAGAGAGGTGTTTATTCAACTGAAGGCTGTAGTTTCTGTTGCTGTTGTGTTGTCTTACGCTGAAAGAAAGTCTTCAGTATTTGGTACACCACGCTTACATCAACCAAGGATAGACAAAAATATTAGAAACACCAGTATAACCAAGTATAATGCCATACAGTTCAATACAGTAATCCTATGTTGTGAAAGAAATGTTAAGACTGCTGCATTATGTTTTCTATCAAAAGTAATATATCTTCAAATGTAATCTGCAACATTCACTGATAACATATTTCATTTGTTTTCCTACAATAGTCCTTCGTGGAAATTAAAACATAATTTTTATGGTTTTGTTTAGGAAACCCAAAGCACTTGGGCAGGTTAAATATGATTTTCTTTATTAAATATTGAAAAGGTCAGCAGTGACATGCACTGTTAAACCTGACAAAACATCTTAACCCTTACAAACTGTTTATATCCAATGCCTTCACAGTATTTGACCCGGTCCAAGAAAGTCCTCATAAAAAGTCTATGCCATATTTTGAACTACAGATCTATT